ACACACACACACACACACACACACACACACACACACACTGGCGTGCTTTTCAGCGCCTCAGACCTGCACATTTATCCAGCTAGAATCCAACCACCTTACCCACCAGGCCTTGGAATGGCTGGGATGATACATTTTCACCTGTTTGTTGTAGATCCTCTAGGGGTTTCATTAAAGGGCAAGAGCAAGAGCTTTAGAATCTTCTCTTTCCCCCAGTGTCTACAGTAGCTTTATGTGTGTGGGAGTCATTTCTCAATTTTAGTATTTTGCCAGATGCCCATGCACTCACTGGAGACAGATGGAAACGGAGGGAGAAAGCACTCTTCCCTGAGGGGTCATCTCCTCCATTTCTCCATCCTGTCGGGATTTGGGGCCAGGATTCAAACCTGGCTGTTGGCCATGTGGGGTCTGACTCCCTTAACCATCATGCCACAGAGGTGGCCCCATTTCTGGAATTTTCAGTGACTTGCGGAAGACTTAACAGTGTTCAGTAAAAGAAAGTTACGCTAAAAGACAAAAGTAAAAAAGCAGCAGCCCCGTGTGCGACAGCACGCACGAGTGTTGGAAGCAAACGTAGACGCCATCTAGGTGGCTTGCACGGCCAGGTGGCAGGATCGGCCAGGTGGCAGGATCGGGTGGAATTTCCTCTGGTTTGAAATGCGCAGTACTTTGCAGACCGCTCAGAGCAGCTTGTGTGATCGTGATGATAAGGAAAAGCAAAGCAACACTCCGGCTGCACTCCCAGGGGCAGTTTGGAGATGTAAGGTCTGCATCTCTCACAGGTTTTTAACCACAACCCACACTGGTAGATGCATTCTACCTGGTGACCAAACACCTCCCTCTTGCTCTCTTCCACCCTCTAGCTTTCTAACTTTTAACTCTTTCCTTCCTGCAACACGCTGATTTTTTCCTTCTCATTCCTATTCAATTTCACGTATTTGGATGCTGGTTGCAACTCACCACATTGACTTCTTTTTTTTAATTGCCGGAGGGTGCATGTACTTGGCAGAAACAGACAGAGAGGGAAAAGCACTTCCCAGTTGGGGATGGTCACACCACAGTCCCTTCTCCATTTCTCCATCCTGTCAGGATAGTGGGCACCCACACACAGGTGCACGCACCCAGCCTGATTCTCAAGTTGCCAAGGCTGGGATTTGAACCATGGTTGGCCAGGTGGGATCTGGCTCCTTTAATCACTAGGCTATAAGGCTGTCCTCGTTATCTCTGAAAGAGCTATCTAGCGACCAGTAAATGGCGTAGTGGTTACGTCACACTGGCGACTGCAGTTCAAGTCCCAGACCTGGTGGCCTAAAAATCATGCTGGACACGTGTGCGTGCATGCAAGATTCTGGGAGAAGGAATCGTGATATGGTCACCCACCTGGGGAGTGATTTCTTACTTTCCTTTTTTCTGTCTCTCTCTGGTGAGCGCACATGCCCTAAGGCAAAGCAAAAACCGCTATTAAGGGGACCAGCAGTTAGTGTAATGGCTATGTCGCTGGACTCCCACGTAGTCGACCACGGTTTGTGTCCCAGACCCGGTGGCTTAAAACTCACGTGCGACGCGTGTGCCTGTGTGCCCAAGATCTCAGGAGGAGAAAGGAGAAGGGACTGCAGCGTGGCCATCCCCCCAGGGGGGTGATTTCTCCCGTTCTGTCTGGCAAGCACGTGTACCCTATAGCAAAACCCTCTCCAAAAATAAAAAACCCCGCTATTAAAAATAAAGGAGCAGGACCAGCAGGTGGTGTGGTGGTTAAGATGTGGACACTCCCACACGGCTGACCATGGCTCAAGTCCTGGACCTGGTGCCTTGCTTTCTCACATCCCCATTCTGTCTCTGTGTCTCTGTCAAATTAAAAATGAGTAAAATTTAATAATTAAAAAAGATATGACTTGTGCTATTTGCTGCTGGTGTGTGGCTTTTCTCTCTTTGGTGGTGGAGCTTCCGCTGGGACGGCGTGGCACTCTCCACCCAGTTTTACTGAATCTGAGGCCTGTGCTCACAGTTCTCTATCTCTCTGGAGGCAGCTCCTCAGGTGAATAGCAGCAGATGCAGGTCCTCAGGCCACAGTAGGGCACCATCCATTTCTGAGTGGTTCTCAGGGAATGTATGCCACTGTGGCCTCCTCACGAGTCCCAGCGGCAGCAGTATCCAAGGCCAAGCCCTGTGCATAGAAAGCCGAGTCCAGGCTGGACACTGCTTGGTGGCTAAGGGGCTGGCTGCCACGTGGCTGACTGCACAGAGTCCGGGAGTCCATGGGGGAGGCAGGGGAGGGGAATACCCCAGGTGGCTGTGTGTACGTGCTCCTGGTCCCAGAGGGAAGGTGAGATTAACAGGGGATTGCAATGTGACACAGATGCTCTGCCTCTCCTCCTCCTGGTGAGCATCCATGACCTGACAATGCAAAGACAGACTTTTTAAGAGGTTTTTGCCCTAGGGCATGCGACAGACAACGGAGGGAAAGAAATCACACCCCAGGGAAGATGGCTACACCACAGTCCCTCAGGATTTTGAGAATGCACAAGTTCCCAGCATGATTTTCCATGGACTTGAACCACAATCCACAATCAGCCCAGTGGGAGTCTAGAGATGGAACTGCTCCACCTGCAAGTTCCTTTTTCTTAAATATTAACTGTATTTTAACTGGACTAGAGAGGGGCAGAGACAAAGTCAGAAGGCAAGCCGCCAGGTCTGGGACTCAAACCACTGTGAGCCATGTGGGAGTCCAGTGCCCTTAACCACACCACCTGCCTGCCCCACCAATCCCTTCAAAATTTTTGTCAAAAGTTTTGCTGTAGTGCTCCTGCCCTCCACAGAGAGGGAAAGTGAGAAATCACCCCCTGGGAGAATGGCCACACCACAATCCACTCTCAGGATTTGGGGCAAGCACTCACCTGGCTACATAGGATCCAGGGACTTGACTTCCTCCATGCCATCGGCTGGCCCCATTGTAGCCCTGACACCCAGGGTCTTCCATCGCCTTAGTAAAAGGGATGGGGCCCATCCAGTTTGACTTGTGACTGTAGACTGTTACCCAGGCCAGCCAGAAGGCAGAACCCTACCCCCACCCCAGGGTGGCACACAGGTGTCAGCCATTGGGGGACTGGTGAAACCAGCAGTTCCCCCTTGCAGTGAATGAATGAGACTGCTTCCTGCAACTTGAATAGTGCAGCGGCACCTGATCCCAATCTCTGGGGTGTAATGAGCTCTTTAAAGGCTCAGATTATCAACTAGCATTTGCAGGAAGCCTGAAGCAGAGGCAGTTTTAGACCTCTTCAAGACCCTTTCCTCGCCAGGGGCTAAGCTTCCTGGGCTGCCTCAACAGCAGATATGCACTGCAAGGACTCCGAATTTCTTTAAAAATAATTTATTCTTGTTTCTCATCACAACATACAGGAAGGACTGAAGGCAACTCCTGTCACCCCAGCTGTACACCTTCCACGCCACCCCAGGCACATCCTCACAGCACAGGTCTGCCCTGGACGCCTGGCCAAAGGCCCCACTCACACTGGTGGGTTCCCTGCCAGTGTCCAGCTCACTGCCCCGTCAATTCTCCAGAACTCTCGCAGGAACGCAGGCCACTGGGTCACCTCCTAGAGCTATTTAACCCACAGACAGACTGTGACTAAGGGAATTTTCCCTGTCCCTAACTTTCTAAGTCCCAGGCTGCCCCCGGGGCACCTTAGACAGCCCCCACATCCCAGGCAATGGAGGAAGGGCAGTCCAGGCCAAGCATGAAGCATAAACAGTCTTTATTGGGCTCAGACCAGGAGTCCATGGGTCTTGAGGACCTCTGTGTATTTGCCAATTTTCTTCTCCACATTCTTTTCGGCCTGTTTCCGTAGCCTCTGTGAGGACGAGGAGACCAGGGTTAGTGCCTGCTGCCTGGAGGCACCCCTCCCCCGCTTGCCAGCCCTATCCTCACCATGAGCTGTTTCTTCTTCCGGTAGTGCATCTTGGCTTTCTCCTTCCTCTTCTCCTCCAGGGTGGCCGTCACTGCCTGGTACTTCCAGCCGACCTCATGAGCCAGGCGCCCCAGGTAGGCAAACTGGAAGGGGGGAGCCAAAGTTGTTAAGGACATTAAGCCCCACACCCCCAAGCCTGGCCTGGGGGCAGGAAACCCTGCCTTGCTCCTGAAGCCCACACCTATCCAGTGTGTGGTTTCCCTGCTCCTCCTGGCATCAGCTGAGCCATCGGCATTCTCGGCACCGCCCAGCGGCATCCGCAGACCATCGTGAGAAGAAGACATCATCTGCCATCTTGGAGTCCTCAGCCCTCCCAGCAGGCCTGAAATCCCCAACGCAACCACCCAGAACTCACCTTCCTTGTAGGCTTCAGTCGCACAACCTTGAGAGCAGCAGGCACCACCATCCGCTTTTTCTGTTAGGGAAGGAGAGGAGCTTAGAAACCTAGAGTGAGGGACAGAAGGGAAGAAGCCTGGCTGGGGCAGGCGTCTCAGCCAGTGCTGTTTTCATGAGAGTCAAACAATGTAGGTAATTGTGGAACATCACGGACGCAGGACGCTGGGGTGCTGCACGGGGGCCGGGCACAGCTCACCTTATCATAGGGTGGCGGGATCCCGTCGAACACCTTGAGGCGGTCCAGAGCAGCCTGGCCACGCTTGGTCTTGTGGGGCAGCATGCCTGTGGGCAGAGGGCACCGGGCCTGCTCAGTGGGGCCCAAGAGGGCACCCCTTCCCCAGGTGGGTGGACAGGTGGCCTCAGATGGTAGTGCATGCGGAGTCATCTCATAGTTGGGAAACTCGAACATGAGTGGGAGAAGTCCTCATCACTGGCCACCCACCCCACTGCCACCTGTGGGGCACAAGCCGGCTCACCTCGTACAGTCCGCCAGAAGATGCGGCTGGGAGCCCGGAAGTGGTAGGGGCCACGGGATGGGTTGGTGTTCATCCGCTTACGGAGGAAGGCCAGGTACTTTACTGGAAGAGGAAGAGTATGAGTTTGGTCTGGCATTCAGTCCCTAGCCAAGCTCTGGACTTCTCCCAGTACAACCCTCGACTCCCAGGATTGCCTTCAAAGCCCAGATGCCCCAGCCCCTCACTTACACTTGTTTCTGTAAAAATTGCCAGAAATGTTGATGCCTTCACAGCGCACAACCACCACCTTGCGACCTAGACGGGGTGGGAGGGAGGCACTGAGGGAAAGGGCTTGGCTGACAGCCACCCAAGGGTTCTATTTCCACCCAACACCTCAGTCCCCTTACTGGACACAGAGGACAGAGGGGAAAGACCCTCCTCAGCATGCAACCGACTGCAGAGTACAAGAGCCAAGCTCTAGGAAGCTGAAGCTCTTGAAGTCACAGGGCAGTAACCGGCAGAGCTCAAAGTAAAACTGGCCGAACTGAACATCGCTCCTGAGCCGGGAGCACCCAGTTCCAGGGCAGGGAGTGGCTGGCAGGTCTCAGAGCGGTGCATGGGGTTGATCTCATGGCCGTGAGACTCAAACGAAAGATGGTGATTGTTGCTCATCACTGACCTCCAGGGGGAGCTAATGACAGGGCATTGGGCTGACACTTACCCAGCAGCACCTGCTTGGCCACGATGGCTGCCAGGCGGCCCAGGAGATGGCCTCGGCCATCGAGCACCAGGACCTGCAGAAGCCAAGGCAAGACAGCTCAGAGGCCCAATCAGCACTCTCTACTTGTTTGTTCCACCTCATTCCCAGGATGTCACCTGCCCAGTGACCAGACCAGGCTCACAGATGAGGACACAGACCGAGGACAAGAAAGCACGAGGACAACTCAAGACTAATCAAGGAAGGGCAAGACACTCAAAAACTCCCCTCACACTTAAGAGGCTGAAGGGATTTCTACACCCGGATTGTATTTTAGATAGCTTTGAGATAGGCCTGAACCAAGGCCAACAATACTCAGCCCACTGATCAGTTACAAGAGCTGCAATGGGTGGCACTAACTGTAGAATCCCAAGGCTACCTCTAACCTGAAAGGCGTAGCGTAGCTTCCAGCAGGATCCTATACCTAAGAAAACCCGGTTCCAGGTGGGATGAGGTGAGGCAGAGTAGTGAAAAGTCTACACTGGCTCTCAACTCAACAGCCCCACACCGCTGGGAAAACTGCTGGAACTGTTCCTCACTGAAGTCTGTATTTTGGGGCCAGCTGGTGTTGTGGGGGGGTTAAGGTGCTGGATTCCCACATGGCCGACTGCAGTTCGAGTCCCAGCGGCTTGCTCACACTTAAGAGGCTGAAGGGATTTCTACACCCGGATTGTATTTTAGATAGCTTTGAGATAGGCCTGAACCAAGGCCAACAATACTCAGCCCACTGATCAGTTACAAGAGCTGCAATGGGTGGCACTAACTGTAGAATCCCAAGGCTACCTCTAACCTGAAAGGCGTAGCGTAGCTTCCAGCAGGATCCTATACCTAAGAAAACCCGGTTCCAGGTGGGATGAGGTGAGGCAGAGTAGTGAAAAGTCTACACTGGCTCTCAACTCAACAGCCCCACACCGCTGGGAAAACTGCTGGAACTGTTCCTCACTGAAGTCTGTATTTTGGGGCCAGCTGGTGTTGTGGGGGGGTTAAGGTGCTGGATTCCCACATGGCCGACTGCAGTTCGAGTCCCAGCGGCTTGAAAAAAAAATCACAAATAAGGAGAAAATGGAGTTCCTGTTATTACAAATGTCAACATATAGGATGAGGTTTAATGCAAGGAACTACGTAATAGTGGTTACACAGCATGTTGAAATGCAGTACAAAATCGTAGTAGACTCTAAAGGCAGACCTGACAGGCAAAAACCTACAATTTCTCTGGTTTCAATTTCCTCCCCTCTAAGATAGGGACATCTGCCCTAGAAACACAGCTAAGTTAACGACAGAAGATACAAACTGCCAGGTGCAAGGACACATGTCTGGTAACTACAACTCCCCTCTTCTACCTCCTTCACCACGCACACCTACCAGAAGCTCTTAAGAAAACCTAACTACAACCATCCTTCCTCTTACACGTAATTAGTCACAAATGGAGCCAAGGAGCTCCAAATAACCTGTGTGCCCCAAGGCTCCCAGGTGGTTAAGGCACAGCTGTGGCCTTAAAACTCACAGCACAGCCTTCAAGGCACCCCCAATCCAAAAACAATGAAAAACGGCAGTTCGCCACGGAACGCCTGCAAGGGAAAACTTTTCACGCACTGCAGGATGCGTACTGAGACGCCTACAACTTCAGGAACTCTTATCACTCCTGCAGGGAAACCGGAGCAGCCCTCGCCTAGGCCGACCCTCAGCCTCTCATCGCCCCCGAACTGCCCGGTCGACTTCCGTATGCCCCCCCCCACCCCACTGCTAGGGGCGCACAATGGCCCAACAGGGGACCTGACCCCGAGGTCAAGATAAGCTAAGACCAGTCGTAGAAGACCCCATCCTGAGCTGAGAACTCCCCACCATCGAGGCTGGCGAGGCCCTGGGCAGGAACGAAGGCCGGCAGTTAGCCGCCCCGAGAACTAAAGACGGCTGCGGAGTCTACTGCATCCCAATGGGTTTCCCTCACGAGAAAACTGCTCCCATTTCGGACAGTTAGCGGCCTAAGTCCCACAACACACGGGGGTAGAGTACAGAGCTCAAGCCGGTTCCTCCCTGAATCCCACCGGCCCCACGCCGCCCCGGCCCGCGTGGTGCTGGCACCTGCCCCTCCGCCATCTTCGGCAGCCGCCTGGGAAAGAAGGAGGTCTTGGCGCAGGGTTTCTTATCCCTTGAAACAGGGGCGGAGGAAGTGACGCAACACGGGCTGCGCGAGCCGCTTTCCGACTTGTCATTGGCCAAACTGCTAGGCGCATGCGCAATGACACTCCACCGAAGGCGGGCCGTCCTCTGACTGTCCAATCCCGGCACCGTTCCGAACGGACCTCAGCCGCCATCGCTGTGCGGGGCTGGCGATCACGTGGGCGTGGAAGCGGGTCTGCTGGGGCGGGGCTGTCCCGCCTTGGCGGCCATGTGTTTGAGGGGCTGCGAGTTGTCCCTCGTTCTGTCCGCCGCTTTTGTATGAGGAAGCGTTCTTACCCTCGCTCCTCCCCCGGCTGAAGGTTGCAGGGCCCGTGGTGGCCTGCAGGGGGCGTCCAGGCCCGCCCTAGGCCGCTCACGCCAGGCTTAGAGATCTGGTTTCGCGCTGGGGGGGGAGGTGAGGCTCGGCGTGACCCGGACTAACCTCAGGTCTTACCTGCGCCTCCGCGTCCCCGCCGTTAAAAGAGGTGGAGGTGGAGCTTCGGGTTCCTGGGCTGCACCAACCTTCCTAGTTCCTTCAAGGAACTTCCCACTTTCCGACCCTGGCTTCCGCCGTGTCCTTTGCCTGGGATGTTCTCCGCGCCCCCTCCAAAACCTGGGTTGTCTCGATCCCAGTACCCTGTGGTCCAGAGTTGCTTCCTCCAGAAAGCCTCCCTGATATCTCAGTCGGGGTCAGGTGCCCCCTCAGGCCTCCCGGTAGAGCAGATATATTTTGCGGAGGTTCTGAGTCCCCCGTTTTCTCCCTACAGACCTGGAGCCCTGGGAGGACAGGACAGGGTCTAAATGACCTCTGCGTGTCCCCCTCACCCCCAGTCCCCAGACCTGGAGCCCTGAGAAGTCAGGGCAGGGTCTAAGTCACCTCTGGGTCCTAGCATTTCCCAGCACTGACCGTGAGCCCCCGGAAGCCTCTGAAAAATGTTCTGAACCGAATAAACAAAACCCTGAAACCAACAACCCCATCCCAACCCTGCACAGCCGTCTCCCAACCCTGCACGTCCATAGACAGGCATGGCCAGAGCTGGTAGAAAAGAATTGTTTATATACAACTTCGTGGGGATCAGGGCTTCGTACAGAAGTGGGTCATTGGGACCTGAGCCACGGGTTGTGGTGCTGCCTCCATTTCTGGAAGGCAGAGAGAGGTGCAGGGGCCCAGGAAGGGCCCAGCCTCCAACCTGCTTCCTCCGGGCCCTGGCTGTGTGTCCTCTGGCAGATGACTTTCACTCTGGGCCTCAGTGTCCTCCTCCGTAAAATGGGACGATAGACGCATCTGTCTCTCTGTGGTCTGAAGATCAGTGGACAGAAAATAGGGAAGGTACTTAGCTCACGTCAATATGGAGCCCTTTGAATGTGGCTGATGCAATCACGGAGCTGACATTCTTTTTTCTTGAGAAGTTTGTGCCTCAGGAGAAAGAGACAGTGAGAGGGAGAGGGAGAAATCACCCCACCCCCACCCCAGGGTGGACAGCCACACCGCAATTCCTTCTCCCAGGGATCTTGGGCGTGCACCCATACTGTGTACTCAGTGTGATTTTCAAGCCACCAGGTCTGAGACTTGAACTGTGGTTAACCATGTGGAAGTCCAACGATGTAACCGTTTCGCCATCTGCTGCCCCCTGAAAATATTCTTTGATTTAATTTTTAAAAATTTTTACATATTCATTCACATATTTTAATTTGACCAGAGAGAGACATAGAGAGAGGGAAAGCGAGAAAGCAAGCCACCAGGTCTGGGACTTGAACCATGGTTGCACACGTGGGAGTGTCCAGTGCCTTAACCACCATGCCACCTGTTGGTCCCTTCTTTTATTTCATTTTAACGAATTTAAATTTAAGATATTGGGGCCAGCTGGGGATGTGGTGGTGAAGGAGACTAGACTCCACATGGCTGACTGAGTGGTTGGAATCTGAGACCCAACGCTTGAGAAACATTCAGGTATATGTGTGCCCAAAATCTCAAAAGAAAAATGGAGGCCCAGCAGGTGGCATGGTGGTTAGGGGTGCTGGATTCCCATATGGCCAGCCATGGTTCAAATCCTGGATCTGTTGACCTACTTTCTCTATCTTCCTTTCTTTCGCTCTCTCTGATCAAATTAAAAATAATAACAGATGGACAGGGACCAGCAGTTAGCGTAATGGCTATGTCGCTGGACTCCCACGTAGTCAACCACGATTCATGTCCCGGACCCGGTGGCTTAAACTCACGCCGGGCACGTGTGCGTGCATACCCAAGATCCTGAGAGGAGACTGGAGGAGAAGGGATTGCAGCATGCCCAACCCCCTGGGGGATTTCTCGCTTTCTGTCTCTCTGTCTCTGTCTGTCTGGTGAGTGCACGCGCCCTATAACAAAAACCTCTCCCCCCAAAAAAAGAAAAAAAAAAAAAACAGATGGAATTAAATAAATAAATAAATAAATCATTTAAAACAAACAAACAAAAGAAACAAAGAAAAACGGAGAAGGGCTGGGATCAGCAGTTGGTGTAATGGCTATGTCGCTATATTCTCATGTAGTCGACCGCGGTTCGCGTCCCAGACCTGGTGGCTTAAACTCATATCGGGCATATGTGCGTGCGTGCCCAAGATCCCGAGAGGAGAATGGAGGAGAAGGGATTGC